GCTCCATCCCTTCCCCGTGCCCTTACCTGCTATCCTAAGCACGGCCCGCTCGGCGGGGTCCAGCACCGAGCCCCCGTGAATCTTCCTTTTCGATCTCTCATGTTTAGGCAAATTCCAGGGTAAGGTGTCTCCGGGAGCTGGAGATGCAGAGCCAGATTTCTGGCTGAAATCATCCTCATCGGAAAAATCCGCAGAGGAAGACATAGAGCAGCGGTAGGACGCGTTCCCGGAACTCTGGGGAGGATGACACAGAAAAAAAGCATTAACCACAAAGCACTCACACACGCTCCTGGATTCCAACAGCCCCCTCCCTGCCCCCAAGCTGAGTCCGGCATCCTGCGCCCCCCTCAGCGCCGAGGGGACACACAGACAAGACGTGAAAGCCCAGGCTCACCATGTTTTCCTGGCCACAGCTCCGACAGCACAAACAATACCCGGGCAGCCCCAGTACACGGAAGATTTGCACAGAAGTGTGTGGCCTGCGGTCTGGCCACCAGCTCACCAATGACTGGCCCAACAATGAAGCCCGTATCAACAGCCTTCCTGTTGCAAATCTATAGTATCTGGCTCCCCCACCAGGACGGGAGAAACATTTTCCATGACTAGACTGCTGGTTAATTCATTAAGGCAACTAACTCGAAGTTGCAAAAACAAAGCACAAATGCAGGATGTGGCGTCCCGATGCCTTTCCGTCTCAGGTCGCCCCACCACTGGAGTCTCCTTTCCGGCCAGTTTGGAGCCCCTGTGCCCTTTATTGGATTTCCTTCATTGAAGCGAAGCAGGGTAGCAGAAAAGAGCAGGGAGGGGGGGAAGGGCCGATTCTGAGAAGAGCCTTTTCTTAAGACTGGGAGAACACAAAAAAAAAGACTGTTTACAGAAGCCTGCGGCCACTCCAATAAACAAACATCTGAACTCGGTTTAGAGTTCTTGGGATCATTTAAACTTCTAGCAAAGGAATAGCTGCCAATCATGTAAATGAGAATGATGTAGTGCGGTGACAGGAAACAGAGCTCTTCTCCGCTCCCGGTCATTACACGGTGGACCGGGAAAGATGATGCTTTTACCAGAGCACTTTGCCGAAGGTTAGCCATCTCTTCATGGAGCAGGAGCAATCTGCAAGGCCATCCCGTGCATAAAAGGGGTTCTATCTTCTGTGCAGAGAAGAGGCCCACGATGCCATTCCTTCCTTCTTTATTGGGCTACGTCGGCGATTATTTAGAGAGCTTACAATCAAAACAAGGATGCTGACCATCTGGGCTGTGAACTTGATAAATAAAGTAAAATGTAATGGGAAATCTTCACATACCCATTCAGAATTTCACTTTGCTGAAGCTCATGGTGAAGATGCCAAACTGGTATAATTCGAATTCCTAAAATGCTACTTGCAGCCACAGATGCCTGAGACGAAAGTTATGGGCATAAATCTGTGAGGCATAATCCAGTTTGAGCCAAAACTTTGAGCTGCTCACAAAAGCAGTGACAACCTCCACAGCAAAAGACAGGCTGTGTGAGCAACATCCCAAAGCGCTCACCTAAGGCATGTGAAATAAACTACAAGAGAATCAGGATCATTGACCCTATTCAGACATGTTGCTACACGTGGTCAACACCATCATTTTGAAAGTACACCACATTTCCCGCAAAATAAAGCATCTAAGATTTATCTTTACCTATATTCTCTCTTGAAAAAGCCATCTTCCATTTTATTTTGCCTGAAATTTCATCACCTTGGCAAATTTACTTATTTAGATTTTGTGTGTTTTTCCTAAGTGGCAATACTGTAATCAGCACACTTGAAGCAAATAAATAAATAAAATTGATTTTCTGTATTGTAGCTAAAGTCCACAGAGAGTTGTGAGTGGCATTAAGTCGGTCACAGAATGCTATCTTCAAGCTAATTTATTTTCCATGCTTTTCTGGAAACTCATCTTGAACTGTCTGAGGTTGTGTTGTTGGCTGGATCTGTGAAAGTGGGTGACATTCTTAAAGACTTTCAGCAAAGTATTGGGTTTCTTTGGTCGCCTTCTGTCTTCCTTAAAAAGGCTTCCTACCTGTCCTTACTTAAGGTCATCCTTTATCTGTGAGCTTATATTTCTTCTTGTTGCCTGGACTATTTTCAATGGGTATGGTAATTTGATTGTTTATCTTTACAAGCAGGCTTAGAGAATAACTGTTAAAGAAAACTGCCCCTTTCCAAAAACCATGGGTTATTGATTTTTGTGGAGTAAATTTTTTTAATGGCCAGAGTCTCAGCTGATTGAACAGCGAAATGTTATTCATGCTATGCCATAAACGCCATTAATCACAGGGAGCCAGATGGGAACAGTCACTAGCCCTGGACCCGAGGGTGCTGACTGGTGCAGCCTCTAATCTGGTAGTGTCATTTGGTAAAAAGATAAGCGAGAAAAGAAAGAAAAGACAATCAGCAACAGCGCTTTCAGCAATATATCACAGATAAATAGAGACACACAGAATGGAATGAAATCATACATATTTATATGATTAAAGTCTCTCCCGGGTTATATGATGCAAAGGGTTTTAACAATTAAAGTATTCAATTTTCTTCCACAATAATTTTTATGAGTGCTTTCTTTAGGTAAACTATATAAAATTAGGCTCATCTGAACACTAAAAATTGAAAAGTGATATCTTAAAGCTGCTTGGAAATCAATCAATCATCCAAAACTATTATACTCTTTATTGATTTGAAATGACTTGCCAATTCCTGTCACTATCTTGGAGTTTAGAGGGAAGTGTGTAAGAATACATTTCTCTTTTCTTTTCTTTTGGAAAAAGCAAACATGTTCTCTGACCCAAAGTCCAGAGCCTAACCTTTGATGTGGAGCTTGGAAGGGTAAGACAAAGGAAGAGGGCGCTTGTGACCAGCAAAAGCCCCAAGTTCCTGTCTTTTCTTCTATTCTTGTTGCCTAGGGTTTGATTCCTGTTAAAATACAAATATCTGTGTCCATCAATAAGGGGCTAAATAAATTACAGTATATTCATACTGCAGACTACTCTGCAGCAATTAAACAAAAATGTTATTGATCTACACTTAGCAAGGTGGAAAGAATTCATATAGAATTATTCTTTTTTTTAAATCTGTGCATGAACGTGTGTGTAGGGGGACAGAGAGATGACTGATAGATTAATAGGTTGATCGATAAGTATGTATCATATATACAATGGTTATTTCTGGGTAATGACTAATAATATAAATGGATTTTATTTTATTCCTTCTAATTTTATAAGCTAAAACAAATACACAAAAAGGTTACTAAAAATAAAAAATAAAATAGTGTGTCATGGGTCAGAGAAAATATCAAAGGCACCAGAAAGAAGTAACTAAGCCAGTGCTCTTAACCATTTTGGGCCCAAAGATCCTCCTAAAAAGTTGGTAAAAATCTATGGAAACCTCTCTCCAAAACAACGCTCATAAGTAAATACACACCCACTATGCATGTAAATTTAAAGGGTCCATTGACCCACTAACCTCAGGTTAAGACCCCAATTTACACCATCATCTGTCATCACCATTTGGCACATGTGTTGAGAACAAGATAAAGAGGAAAGAGCTTTGGAGTCCGAGAAAAGAGGGGAAAGGGTAATTAAGATAGTAAAGACAAAGTTATAATATTTTTAACATTTGGTCTTTTCTTTTTTGATAAAGGACCGTGAGCCATTATAGACTTATGTTGGATCTCTACAATCAAAATAAATAGATAGATGATAGATAGATAGATAGATAGATAGATGCTATTTTGTGAAGAAAAAAAAACCTGTTTTGTGTCTTATTGCAACCTAGTTATTAAAGCAGTTTTAACAATTGAATTAGATCACCGTGACCTTTAAAAGGACTTTTTTAATAGCCAATTCATTCACATGGTTTAAAAACAACCCAAATCTCCTAAGCCAGGATAATTACATAATACAACACTTTTAGAAGGGGAACTAAACAATAACTTCTCTAATTGAAACCCCGGTGGGAGATCTGAGATAAGGACAATGGAACTGCCTACATTGGAAGTCGCCCAGCCTTAGCACCCAGAGCTGAAGGAAGTGCGAGGAAGCTGCCTCTGCTCTAGGCATTCTCTCAATGCCACAGAGAAACAAGTGCAGAGATAAGGGTTTGCAAAATAGCCAGATTTTGAGAGTCCCAGAGGCCAAAACGTTAACTTTCACAAACCTGCATGCTTATAATTTATGCATATTCCCTGAAGTATATTTTGAAAAATTTACCAAAAAATAAATTTAAAAACAAAAAGCATGTGAGGAAACAATTGGGCAGATCCAGATTGTGGGGCATTCTACAAATTAACTGTCCTGCCCTCTTCAAAAAGGTCGATGTCATGAAACATATATACCCAAAAAGCAGGGACTATTCTAAATTTACAAAGACAAAGAAAAGCATAACAACAAATTCATGAACCTTGCCTGGATTCTCATCTATTTTGTTTTGTTTAAGCAAAAAAAGACAGGTTAGGGACAATTGGGAAAATCTGAATGTGAATTGTGGTTATGTAGGAAAGTGCTCTTAACCTAGAGGATTCAGGCTGGAGAAATTCATAATGTCTGCACTTATTTTTAATCCTATTTAATAAAGAGCTAATATGCTAATTAGACTAAACAGCTGAATGACCTTCCAGACGAAGCCGAGGCTTCGAGGCTGGCTGAGGCTGCGAGGGCCGAGCCCCTTGCACGGATTTCGTGCATCAGGCCTCTAGCTTTTTCTTTTTTTCTTTGTTTAAATATATTTTATTGATTTTTTACAGAGAAGAAGGGAGAAGGATAGAGAATTAGAAACATCGATGAGAGAGAAACATCCATCAGCTGCCTCCTGCACACCCCCTACTGGAGATGTGCCCGCAACCAAGGTACATGCCCCTGACCAGAATCGAACCGACACTCTATCCACTGAGACAAACGGTTAGGGCAGGCCCCTAGTTTTTTCAATAAAAACAGAAAGAATCAGTGAAAGCGACAACAGGTTAATAAAAGGTATACATGGTATTACTCTTTCAACTTTTCTGTAAATTTAAATATTTTCAAAATAAAAAATTGTGCCCTGACCGGTTTGGCTCAGTAGATAGAGCGTCGGCCTGCAGACTGAAGGGTGTAGGCCTGTTTTCACAAGATCAAGATCCCCAAGTACACAGTGATAAGGTCCATCTAAGCACTTTCTCATAGCTTTTCTTCACATACCCTTAGAGAAGCACTGAAGCGCTGGCCTATATCGA